CCACATTTTTTTGGAAATCATTTGGGGATGATTGCTGCATTTGATGGGTTGCAACAGCTTGCATGGAGAAAAATCTGAAATTGCAATTTGGCCCCCTGACTTTTGAACAATTGCGTTAAGGACCAAAAATTTGTGAAAAATGAATCAAAATTTTCCTTTTCAAACCTTGATCCTCTTTTGCATATTTTATGTGTGTTTTGAGTAAATTATTTCTGGGGTTTAGGATGTGATTAAGGATTAAATAAATTTTTTGAATTTATTTTCCTAAAAAGGCATGTTCTTTTCTTCTTTGGGTTTATGAAAATAGAGTGAGTTTGAATTTATTTTTCTTTGGGTTATGGCATGGACTTTGTGACCAAAGCCCAATATTTTCTGGTTGGATCCGAAAATGGGCTTGCTCGTCCTTTTCTCTGGATTTTCTTTGGACCAAGGTGGTTTTCGGCCCAAGAAGAAGAAAAAAAATGGCCCGTTGGCATTTCCATTGACGGGTTTTTATTATACGTACAAGTTAAAATCCGATTTACACCCGTTTGACTGCAAGTATACAGGTCAAATTAGTAGTTTAGGGCGTGTATTGGGTCGATCCCACGAGAAAGATTGAACAATTACCGGTGTTACTAAAACTTCTCTATTATTTAGACTATCAATGAATTATAACAAGTAAAACCTACTGAACTTATACAAGAAAATAATAATTGAAGCTCCTTAGGTTATGGTATCCCTAACTACTCATGCAAGTGCTATATTTGGACCACTGATTACTACTATCTTGGCTAGCTATGGTGTAATTTTCATATGCATATGAATTCTACTTTCGTAGTGAATCAATTATACTCATAAATAATCCATACGTATTCTCATGGTTATGAGATTAGTTACAAGTTCATTTCTTCAATGAAATTACATGAAATGAATCATTAAAACCATATAGATGTACCTTTACTCTCTTGAGTGTACTCTCCATGTTTAGCACTTCTTGAATTAGTGTTAAATCTCAATTTTCATTGCAGATATAACACCTTAGATAATCACAATCAATGGTACCAGATTAATTATAATTCAAAGAGGTAAAGTGCTAAATAGCTTGCTCAAAATAATGGCATCAAACAGCCAAATAATAACACTAGTAATCATAGAAAATTCAATCAAACCCAAGGCATAAACTTTAGAAACACATAATAACATATAAATCCATAACTTGTATATTAACTAAACTTAGAATTAAGTACAAAAGATAAAAAGTTGGAAAGAAAAAGTAACCCTTGTCACATGAGCTCTTTCCTTGCCTTCTTCATCTCCTTCTTCATCTTTGCCTAGCTAAAAAACAAGAAGGATGAACTACTACTCTCTACTAAACTAATCTAACACTCACAAGATGTAAGAACTACATTTCTGCACTCCCAAGTTTTCTCCCGTCTGTCCCTCCCTCAATCTTGCAAGTTTTTGGCTATATAAAGGTAAAAGGTGGTCAAGGAATGAGGTTTACACCTCCCTTTTATAGCTGCAAAATATTTGTCACATGTCTAGCATTACATGTGACTTATTGGAGGTGAAATCAAGTTGTCCGCATAAAGAGCAGCGTTTTCTTACCACAATCCGGCCAAGTTCCGGCTGGATTGCTACAGTGACCTTTTTGTGCAATTTCTGTTCAATTTCCAGCTCTGCTCAGATTTTGCCTCAACTTCAACTGAATTTTTCTTGATGATAGAAGCTGATTTAACTCTTGACCAAAACATAAAACTTGTAGCTCTTTAAGTTAGCTTTCCAATGCCTCAAGAATCACCTCATTTGGATTTGTGTAGGATAAGAAATGTCTGAAATACCCTTGACTGCTCAATGTCCTGTTTCAGTTTCGACTAATAGAAATTAGCTACTGTAATTCGGCTTTTTGACCTAGAAAACCTTTAAACTGGATTTCGATGTCTTCACCAAAGTTGTAGGTCTATCTCTTATCTTCAAATTGATTTAAGAATCATCTCAATCTGATCACTGTAACTCAAGTTATAGCCGAAATACTAAAATATGTCAAAACTGTCAAAAATGCACAAAATGCAAGTAAAAAGTGATAAATACCTCATTTAATCACTTAAGAACATTTTTCCTAAATTATAGCCAAAATGATTCATTTTCTTTCAATAATATAATGAAAATGACTAAAAATAACATAAAATATCATTCAAATATAACGTAAATTAGTCACTTATCATCCATTTAAGAAATTAGAGATGGATTTTGCAGTTTAGTCCCTAGTCTTTCAAGTAATTTTACTGTGACCTTATAAACTTTAGATTTCTTTCAATTAGGTTCTTAATTTAATTACAATTCGGTCCCTAAACTTTATCTTTTATTTAATTTTGACCCCTGGTCTTTGTAAGAATTATAATTTGACCTTAAAAACTTTTTATTTTTGCATTTGGGTCCCTAACAGGTTGATTTCTTAAGTATAATTTGTCCATCTTTTTTAATTATTAATCATCACTCATTTAAATGCATTTAATTAGTAAATTTTAGGCATTTTATGTTTATTTATATTTCTTCATAGTAATAAAGTGAATTTGTTATATGTTTACACTTTCTTTTAAATTGTCAATTAAATTGGTACATTGACTATTTTGTTAGTTGTGGAGTATAAATAGGGTAAATTTCAAGGGAGTTATTTTCTATTATTATTTTAAATCTTTTTATGTGTTCTTATGTATTTTTTATGTGTGATTGCATGGTTTGAGTGCTTTTTCTTGTATTTACTCATTTTATTCATATTTAATTTTTATTTATTATATTTAATTTTTGATGATTATTTGGAGGGCATTTAAATGTCAAATTGTAATAGATAGATGTTCAAGAAATGTATTTAGCTAGACTATGTAATAGATAGATTTTATTTTTGCCAAAAAATGTAATTAGTTAGATGAATGTAATAGTTAGGTTATTATTTTTCAAATTCCCTCCTTAAATTGTAGTTAGGGTTGCAAATGTAATAGTTAAGTCTTTATATGCGTTTATTTACTTGTGTGCTTGCATGCTTGTGTGCTTATGTGTTTATTCACTTTCTTTAGAATTTTGCATCTGGATATCATGCCTAAGTGTTATGTGCTCTATGTGTTTATTTGATTTAATTATGCTTTATATGTTTTATTTATTTATAATCAATGCATGACTACACCACACTAGTCCAACGCTAGTTGTGACTTTTCTCCCTGTTTTTTCACTAGTTCAATGCTAGTGAGGACTTGTAAGAATGGGTTAGTCTAATGCTAGGCCCTTTAAGCCATTTACGCGCTAGATTCATACCTTCTATGACATTTATTGCATTTCATGCATTTTCCCTATCTTTAGGTTATTTTCATTTGTATGATATTTTCCCTATTATTATTTCCTTACCCTTTATATGTTTGGACCATATCATTTAAATTGCATTTCACTTTAGGAAATTAGAAATAGGTTAGTCCAGTTACTTGACTAGGTCAAAAGAATCACTCATCAAATATGAAAAACAAATGAGCATGGCTTTTTAGTTTTAGCACGCTCTTATTCCCTCTATAAAAAGGAAAATTGAGTCACGAATTTTAACATCCTGTACCCATTATGTTACATTCTTCTTTTCTAGGTCATATATATTTATTTATATATTATAATTTTTTTAGTCCAATTTTTGCCGTGACCTCTTCTAAGAATCATTTTTGAACATCACAATTAATGTGATTTATACAAATTAAATTTTGAAGAGACATTTCGACCCTCCCAATATCCTTTAAGTCTTGATTTGCATCAATGTAGAAACATTTAAATGTGATAAGTTTTATAAGTTAGATTAGGAAAATTTTTAGCTAAATCTCGCAATTAACCTTAGTTAGGTTGAAAGGGTGTCTTAGGTTTGAACCTATCAAATTTTTGCCTTCTCTTTCTTCAACCGTGACTCCCGAACTCTTTTCTTTTATTTTCAAAGACCTTGAGTCATCTAAAAGGAGTTTTATTTGTTTATTTAAAAATATTTTGGATGATTTGGTACACCTAAATTCAATACCAAGTGGCGACTCTTTATTTATTTATTTATTTCTAAAAACTCTTTTTTAGACTATCATTTTGGATTCAATCCGTCGCATTTTCTAAGTCCCATTTTAGGCTCTTCTTTTTCCTTTATTTTTTAAAAACATAAATTCATTTTTTCAGCACTAAATTTATTTTTCAAAAAATGAGGGCGCGACAACATACATACACAGATATATATATAAATAGAGAGAGAGAGAGAGAGAGAGAGAGAGAGATTATCAGTCCATCTATGGCTCCATGGAAGGGAGTTCATAACATTTATTAATAGAGCAAGCTATATATCTAAAATCTGTCACCCTATTAATTAGTAATCTCTACTTTGAATTTTAAGATTATCTTACGTACCCTGGAGGGAATCAAATATATACACGACGTCTTGTGAAAAGTAAAATGATTATAGAAAAACACATTCCTCCAATCCAGTTTGAGGTTAAGCCATCACGTGCTTGTTCTAATAATCATGATTGGCAATTTAGCATAAAGTGTTAAGTTCGATTGAAAATAAAGAAAAACCAAAGGACGATGACGAAATCTATTCATGCGGAATTCACAACTAATCATAATAAAAAAAAGTAGTATTTATTCAACTTGTAACAGTAACGTACAATAACACATAATGCTTTATCATTCAGTTGTGACAACCAAATGATTCAAAGTTTACAAGAATAGTAGACGTCTTGCTCACAAGCTGAAAATTCGGCCCACTACTCACCTCTGAGCTTCTTAGGCCTTTATTTATAAGTTATAACATAATCTGTCTGATCCGAAGTTTGTATTTACAATGTATGACTAAATTCAAATGACGGTCTAACTCTAGAAGTGGTGTGTTTAGGTGCAGGGATAAGCGATGAGTAAATTCTTTTGGGTGATAATGAAGGTAGGTTGTGGTAGAAATGACGGTGAACTCATATTCGAGAAGAGGAATTGTATTTGTTAATCCCCTCCCCTAGGATGGCGTGGTGGTCTTCTAGGTGGAGGTAGAGGTGGGCACCTTCTGCGTGGCGGAGGAGGTGGAGGGGGGCTCTTTTTCGGCGGAGGTGGTGGTGGAGGTGATTTCTTAGGTGGACACTTTTTTGGTGGAGGTGGTGGTGGAGGTGATTTTTTAGGTGGGGGTGGTGGGGGTGGTGGTCTGCTCTTTCTTGGTGGAGGGGGAGGGGGAGGTGATTTCTTAGGTGGGGGAGGTGGCGGTGGGCTCTTTTTAGGTGGTGGAGGAGGAGGTGGATGTTTTCTCTTTGGTGGTGGAGGAGGTGGATGTTTTCTCTTTGGTGGTGGAGGTGGAGGTGGAGGGGAGGGTGGTGGTGGTGAAGGTGGCGGAGGAGATGGTGGCGGAGGTGATGGTGGTGGGGGTGATCTTCTGTTGTGTAATGGCGGGAAATGTGGAGGTCTGATTATTTTAGCATTGGCATTTGCCACAAAGATGGCGAAAATTGCCAGGAGTTTCCACAGCGAAGCTATGTGGCTCGCCATGGTTGCTAAAAAGATGTATTTGCTGTCGACTGACTCACTTGTGGAGTTGATGGTTCTGTGATCGATGGTTTATATAGATGATGATTGGAAATGACACCTTGCTGGTGAATGGGGGAGGAATATGCAAGCTGCGTAGCTACAAAATATAGGCACGCATGCAAATTAATCAAGTGCTAAATCTGGCTTTGGGGTTTGGTAAGCCTACCATAGACTAGATGGTAAAACGGAATTGATCCGTACCAACTTGAATATTAATTAGTTTCGTTTTAAAAGTACGTGCCAAACTTGAATTAATTGCTCTTGTTTTAGAAGTTAGCCTTATTTGGCTTAAACACTATGCATTACAAAAATAGGAGTGAAACTTTGGAAACACATAAAATATCACAAATCTTAGATTAGGGAGTATATGTTTTATTAAAACTTTGCGAAACGTAAACAATTCATTGAATCTTTTTTTAAAAAATGTTATTAACCTCCAAAAGTTGACAATAGAAAATACTGAAACTGGAAGATTATAATGAAAGGAGAAATTTAACGCTTTTGTTATTGTAATATTATTATAATGAAATATTGATTTTCTTTTAATGTTGGTGAACAATCTCATTTTATTTCTCATTAAATTACCCAAACATGTCCTTAAGTGCAACAAAACCTTCAAAATAAAGCCCTATTTCCATTTTCTACATTTGTTTTCCAACTTAACGTTTGTTCATGCCTGTTCTTCTAAAATTCTTATCTATAAATAACTTTTAATTTTTAATTTTTCTACCTTTCATACTATGGCGACTTCTTTTTTTCATGTTTTACGGTTGGTCATCATTACTAAATCTACTACTTTTCATAACTACATTTAATTGTATTAACAACTTAGTACACTTAATCTTGGTATCAAGTAGTTTTTTCCCTCTTTTTTGGTTTAATGCAATGTTAACCGCCTAATGCACATATGCGATGAATTTTAATTTCATTAATGATATTGCATGGTGAACAATCATTCTATTGTTAGCGTTTGCATAAATTAGAAACGTTTGTTTAGCATTTTAGATTGTTGGTTATGTTCATTATTTAATCTGTCCATATATGGACAGGCTTTACAATGAGTACACAAGAAATCGAAGCTAAAAGTTGCTTTGGTTACCATTTTCTTTTTTCAGAAATTTGTTACTGACTATTTAAATTTAGTTTTCTGTATTTACATCAAATAGAGAGTACAAATCCAAATATCAAAGCGAATATTGCCAGTAGTGTAGATTCGTCATTATCCCCTTGGACTAAGTTCTTATATTAGCCACTGCTCTCCTCCATTATTTCAATTTTCACCTTAATTTCTGAATAATTAATACACACACATACACACTATATATGAGTGCATGTATGTGTATGTGTGTGTATATATACATATATATGTATGTATTTATCTATATGTACGAAGAAATCATTGAATCTTCTAGACTGGACGAGGAATTCCAAAAATACTAGCGTAGGATTCTTAATCCTGTATTGATCTTTATAACGTCGACCCTAAAACCCAGATATTGTGCAAAGAAAATAAAGATGAAATCTTATTGCTGTAAAAAAAAAAAAGATGTGGAATTTCATGATTGCTAAATTGGGATCCTTCATATTAATCCTGTTTAACTCTAATGCTGAACGGAAAAGCACTTATGGGATTCATTTTCTGGATTTAGGTGGGCTAATATACACATAAAGTATAGAAGAGCAAAGATAATAAATGTCCAGCTTTTTCATGTAGTGCATGTAGCCGGGTAGTATGGAAAAGAAAGGGAGTTTGTAAGAAGACACCAAAATTTAAACAAGAAAATGGAATGAGAAACAGATTGAGTCGTCATAACTTTTCTTCTTCAACTGCATAATTTTCACTGCGAATGAGGAAAGGAATTTAGGTAACCTAGAATTCTTGCATAAACTCATCAAAAACCTATCAAAAACCTCCCCTAAGGTTTCTCTTCATATCACCTAGCACCTTCAAGGTTTTAAAAATATCACTTACCTCCCTATTTTTGTTATCTGTGTAATAAAATTTTTAAAAACCATAAACTATCCTTTTACTTATTGAGTAATAATATTCCTAAACCAAGCTGTTTACTTCTAGAAAACTATCACCTAAAACACAATCTCTAGTATTACAATCACATCATAATGCTATAGCCCATAATAATATAAATGTGAAAAATAAAAAAATATTTGCAAAGAAATATACTTGCACCAATTTAACTCTATATGCTCAAAACCAAATTCTTATGAACTTTATATTTTTTTTTCCAACTTCTTTTCAACCCGTACCCAAACCTTTAAATTGTATTGATCATTATAAAAATCAACTTAAAATAAGCAAATAAATCATAGCCCACTCTATCACAATCACAAAAATTAAAAGATAAACAAAATTTAATTTATTATAATTTACAAATAAAATATTGTTAGCCATCCAGAAAATAAATAAGAGCGAATGTTAGAGAAAAGGGAAAGAGAAGAAAGTGATATTTATTTCTATTTTAATTTTTGACCTCCATTTATTTGATATGTGAATTATGTATTAAGTAAGGGTTAATTTAGTCTTTTATGATTACGAAAGAAGATAAATGATATTTTTCAAATATGAGACGTGCCAAGTAATATTAGGATAAACCTCAAGCGAGGTTTCTAATATTATGATGGAAGTTAAACTAAACTATTTTATTTCCTAACTGTTTTAGTTTCCTTTAAGTTCAAGAGTTGTTTCAAGACTAGTACCAGTTATTAGTCAGTTTCCTTTTCAAAGGTTTAGTCAGTGATTAATTTTAGTTTGAGTCCAATCTAATTGAATAGTTAGTTTTCTATGTGTCATTGGTTTCCTTGTCCGAGTCTTAGTTCGAGTTGTTTCTTGATTCATTAGTCGGTTTGGATTTGTACTTTATAATTAATAAACTAATTGGTCTATAAATACTAGTAGTAGTGCTAGGTTAAGTCTTGAAGAGTCAGTCAAGTTATAGAAGAGTTGAGTTAAGTCTTAAGAGTGAGTTTGAGAAAAAGTCTCATAGTTGAGATTTGTGAGTTGTCGTGATTAAAAGGTTACAATTTAATATTGTTATTGTTGACTTTAAGTTAATAAATTATTTAGTATTTATTCTCCTCCTCTTTTCACATATTTTTATATGTGTTACAATTGCTTCTGTTGTGCGCGCATTTTTTTGTGCCAACATATTAACCCCAAAAAAAAAAATCAACATTTTGGCATTTGGATTTTCAGCTCGAATGGCAAAAGATGATATAGGATAATCTGGCATGTTAGGCAAGCTACATACAGCAAACAGGCGGGGCCTTTTTTTTTAGTTAGAATATAAACATCACTAATAACGAAAAAATTCCTGAGAATTAAACAAAAAAAAACCCACATTGTTTAGAGTTCTGATTTCGTGGAGTTGAATGTAGATAAGCGGTAAGTGTCAATGCCGTAAAAGTCTCAATCTCCAAATCTCCAACACTGCTCTGATAATGAATATTCCTTGAAGTCATGATGAGACCTTGTAGAATAAAACTAGTGGTAAAAGAGATTAATATGTCCACTGCATGTAGAATAAAAATGAGAAAATTTAGAATAATCCGTTGAGATTTCTTAAACTTTAGCAACAAATAATCCATTGAGTGCCATGAGACCTCGCTCCAATGTCTAAAATTGGCATCCCAAGACTTAGGGTGTGTTTAATAAAACTAAAGTCTAAAACTAAAATATAAAATCTGAAGTTTGAATCAATTAAATTATGAATTGTTAAGTATTAAATCTGACACATTTGAGTATATATCACATTAAGAGCCTGTTTGATAACATAAAAAAGTGCTGAAACTGAATCTTTTCAAACATTTAGATATTTTGAGTGTTTGATAAATGAAAATCTATCTGCTGAATTTGTTAAACAGTGCTAAACTTGTGTGTATTTTTTTTAGCACAAGAATTCTAACTGAATGCTTAATTCTGATAAGAATCAATAAAATTACTTCAACTACCTTATCTTATCTATCAAATCTACCATTGTTTGTTAATTATGTTCAAAATTTTTATCTAATTAAACAACCTGATATTCTCTATCTAATGATTTTCTATTTCTCTTTTCTCCTTTTTTAATGACTTTCACATCTTCTCCTTACTCCTCATATAATATATTTCATCTTTTATATTAATTTGATTTAGAAATAAATATTGTCATTTTCATACCTAACAATTTTAAACTAATTAAATCATATGTTCTATTTCTTTTTTGAATGAAAAGACATAAGGGCAAAATTGTTAAACTAAACTTATTAAGCATTCAGTTATAAATATTTGTCAAATAGTATAAATAGGTTTAGCATTAAAATTTAGATATTCATATATTTCTTTTCAGTGCTTAAAATTCAGCAAATTAATTGTTTCAGTATTCAGATTCAGTTTTATCAAATGGAACCTAAGTGATAAGTTATTACTTAATTTTAAGAGCAAGTTTTGTCTAGAAAATTCAGTGCTACTTAATTAATTCAGATGTTTTATTTTTTGTTAGCAAAAACAAGTTAAAATTTGAACTCATTAAGTGCTGAATTGAGTTATCAAACATGGCTTTAGAAGTCTTGAGTTTGAATTCCCTTTCCCCTTTTCGTTCCATAATCCTCACCTCTCCTCTACTAGAAAAAAAAATTTTCGAAAAAAATATTAAAACCCTAATAATTAGATGTACTAATTCAAATCACTCGTCACCCTTTCACTTCTTGAATCCCACTCATCTCTTAGTTAAAAAAAAATAAGCCATTGAGGTTTTCTTAAATATATTTTCCATATTTTTGCTAAAACATTTCCACTCTTATTCAAAAATATTTAAGAACATAAAATCATTTGCTTTATTAGTTTTTTATTAACATTTTTTATTCTTCTTTAATTTCCGAAAAAGTTTTCAAACTTGTTTGCTGCCGGTACTTGAACTGTTTCAAAGTTTCATATGTCTCACTATACTATTTTCTTTTTGTAGGTGGATGTAATGTACAGCTAACGTGCAATTTCCATTTCTTTTAGACGACTCTTTGGTGTTTAGT